CGAGTTATAGGGGTAAATCACCATGAAACGACATCATGTTAGCCAGAAAGCGAACCATTTCATTGGAAGAGGACTCTACTAATTCAGAAGGATTCTGAGAAGTAGAATTTCCTCCCAATGGAGACTCACTTGTAGAAGCCTCGCTAGGCACACACTCTGTCAATGTTAAGGATTGCAGAGACAGCTCAACTCTTCAATGAGAAAATAAACATTCACATTAGTCTTTCTCTTCTTCTTCGTCTTCATCTTTTCATCATGTTTAAGAGCGAGAAGTCTCATACCTCCTGGATGCCTAGGGTCCAACTTATTCCATGACAATCACAGACATGGTCCATTGCAGCCTTCTTTGCCACCCCACTCCTTACATCCTCCTCAAGAGGCTTGCAATAGGTGGTAGTGTGACCTCCTTTACCACAATAGTAGCAAACAAAACTCCTCTTAGGACGCTCATCATATTTCCTTCTTTCTCTGTTTCCTTTGTCACCAATTTTTCCATTCTTTTTAGATCTGGAAGAACCCCCCTTCTTACCATAGCCTTCATCATCGTCATCATCATCATCATCCTCTTCACTTTCAGCTTTCTTCTTCCCTCTGTCATCCACAACATGGGTTGCAAGCCTCGCAGACATAAAGTTAGTCATCACTTTCTGAAGAATATTCTCAACACTCAGATTGTTCCCTCTGTTCATACCATTTTCAGTCTCCTAGTCTTTAGCCAAAGTACTGATCTGATCTAGTGACCATTTCTTATGAGAAACTGTAGGTAGAGTTCTTACAATTGCAACCATTTCATCCCATCTGAGAGGATAGTGCTGAGCTTAATTGAGAACTGTCTGCCTTTCGGTGTCAGTAAAATTTGTCAAAAATATATGGCATCTCTGGACTTTGTCCAAATATGAAATTCTTCTTGCTATTCGGATGAAGGTCTGAAGAAAAACATTGAAAGTGTCATACTTAGCTCTTCTGATGTTGAGTAAATCCTTGGTGGTAGTCGGAACTGAGTCCTTCTCAAATTCCTTTTTCATTCTCTCTTTGACTTCTTCCCATGTAGTAGCACCTTCCATCAATTCTTCGACTGCCAATCTTGAGTCAGTATCACAGTAAGATAGAAGGTGCTTAAGCCGTTGCTTGTCTGTCCAGCCATAACTGAGACCAAATAATTCATACTCGTCCAGAAAATCATTTACTTGAGGCCCTCTAAAACATGGAATCCTCTCATCTGACCTCTTTGCTCTTGCAATGTCTGACCCTCTTTTGATAATGTCGACTCTCTCAACCAATTCCCGTATAACCCCGACCAAGGCCTCTTCATTGGTCCCTGCAGATGAATTTGGTCTTCGTCGTCCTCCCATTTTGACCATAGATTTTTCCGGGTATTCTCTTCTCTCTTCCAATCACTTTTGTCCTCTTCTTCCTTGTCCTTCAATCTCCCACTCTTCTCGCAAGGGATACAGACTCGTTTCTTTCTTCTTTTGTCTGTTCTACCCCTTGAGAATTCTGTACATATAGAGTATAAGCAATAATGGTTTGGATAGTGATCAAAGGCAATGCAATTCTTCTCAACCTTCCAATGTAATCTTCAATCAACTCTCTTTCATCATCCCTACTCAATCTTCTATTATACCCCTTTATAGTACCCCGAATCATAAAATCTCGTGTCAGGTCTATAATCTCGTAGTCTAATTGCATTGCTTACAACCCGCTGTTGATCCTTCTTGCAAGAGAGACCCATTCCCGAGAAGTGTGGTGTGATACTCCCTCGGTAGTTCCCACTTTCACCACCTTTAATAGATAGTTTACCTCAGTCTGATCAGTGACAATTCTCAGGGCAGAATCTCTCATTCGGTCAAAGCAAGGCTGCAAAAACTCAAGCTCATCCAGGGTAGAAAGATTCCTGTCAGAGATCCGAAGAGTCTCTTCTACCTTGATTATTCTACCTTCCAACACAACACCTAATGTCAGCTGTTCAGTCAAGCTGGGCATTGCTAATCATCATAAGTAATATCTGAAGGTAGATCTCAGGTTGGACATAATCATGGATTTCGAATCTGTGTCCAAAGGTACTCAGAAGCAGGGATTTTATCATCACAGTGGAGTCTTTCTCCCTTGCTCTACCAATCTCAGCAATAGCTTCTAGCAGAGGGAATAAATCTCTCCTGTCTTCAAATCCCTTAGCAATCGAGAACTCAGGGAGCATCTACCTCTTCAAGGTGCGGTACCAGCCTACCTGCTACTTGAGTGTTTTTCCCGCTGTAATCCCTCAATGTTACGGCCACAGGTACGTACCGGCCCTGAGGGCCCAATGAACGAGCAAGTGCCCTTGCGGGCCACACACACATTCAAGCCAACCAGCACTCAGACACGCACGGCCACACACACACTCAAGCCAACCAGCACTCAGACAGACATGCAGTCCAGCAAGCGTGCACACACAGAGTTAGTAGCAGGCGGGAAACTCAGCAAGGCATTCAGTCTATGGGCAAAACTCAGAAATCAGCCGTGTCTTTCAGTCCATGTTTGGACTGGGTCATCACACTACCCCCCCTCAAGAGCGAGGTCCCTTCGACAAACACATTGTAAGCAAGCAAGGCAAAGAGCTTCCTAAAATACTCCGTCGCAGTGAGCCTTGTGGAGATCTTAGGAGTACAGTTAGCTGCGATTTGTCGCTCGTAGGCTTTAACAACGCGTGGTGCGCTGCGTAGCAGTTCCTGCTTGGAAATCCAGTACAGATCGTCCAACGGTTGATACATGAAGTGAACCTGGTACTGTCTGTCGCGTCCCTTCCATACGTGCTATTTAATGCTGTCTATCTCATGCCCACCTTTGATTGCATGAGGGATCATGTCTTCGCGATAATCGAACGTCGTAGCATCACGGTGGACGTACAGTTTTGATGCGTGGAACACGGGGTATGTGCGCAGATGGGCTGGCACATCAACTACGTACGAAGGGCCATGGTGATCTTCGCCAATCACATCCAAAACTTCCGACGGACCATAATAGTGTGATGACCCGTCCAAACATGGACTGAAACACACGGCTGATTTCTGAGTTTTGCCCATACACTGAATGCCTTGCTGAGTTTCCCGCCTGCTACTAAGTCTGTGTGTGCACACTTGCTGGACTGCATGCCTGTCTGAGTGCTGGTTGGCTTGAGTGGGTGTGTGGCCGTGCCTGTCGGAGTGCTGGTTGGCTTGAGTGTGTGTGTGGCCCGCAAGGGCACTTGCTCGTTCATTGGGCCCTCAGGGCCGGTACTTACCTGTGGCCATGACATTGAGGGATTGCAGCGGGAAAAACACTCAAGTAACGGGTAGGCCGGTACCGCACCTTCAAGAGGTAGATGTGCGGGTACTGGAGGCCGAGCAGAAGAAGACAAAAGTGGCATTTTTAGAGGCCCAATAGTTGTAGGTTAGGTCTAGGCGGATACCAGTCCAACCAGCCTGGGTCTAGGGCCTGTACGGGCAATATCAGAGTCTGCAATGATGTTTCCCTCCGAAAGGGAGGAGGTACCGGTTTCTTGGAAGGCCGAGCGGCCTGGAAGTCACCGCCCGAAGAGGCAAGCAGGCCACTATATCTCCCAGCCGGGCGAAGAGCCCGGCCTCTTTCTCGGTGTGCAAGTTTGGCGACACGCTGGTTGGAGCGCCGGTTGGAGCAGTGCTATCCAGGAGCAGCGCTGCTGGGGGAAGGAGAAGGACACGGAGGAGGAAGAAGGACAGGAAGGGGGAGGAGCGCTAGGGGTACTTACCTGGCTATGGTGGCAGCCATCTTCATCACCTTGGTGGGTGCTGCAGCAGGGAGTCCCCAACTGGGGAGAGCCACACCAAGAAGTTTCAAGGCAGAGTTGGGCATGGCGGCCTGAGTGAAGCAGTGATAGCTGCTTTGGGTTGTCCTTTGGGCATCTGGGCAAGGGTTAGTAGTCCGCCATCGGCCTATGATGAGGAAGGGAGGAGGAGGCGTCCATGGCTATGGTGGACCTCAAGTGATGCCGGCAGTAGAAGAGGAACTCGGACATTTGATTCTGTTTCTTGTATGAATAAGAGAAGGGGGAGATAAGGACGAGGAGATTGTTGGGCGAAGAAGAAGAGCCTTGTGATTTGTCTATGCTGGTGTACATCATTTTCTTCTTCTTTCTTACTTCTTCTTCTTCTAATCCTCTCTCTCCTCTCAAGTTCATTCATTTCTTTCTGCAATTGGGCGGCATTGTACTATCTGATGGATGTGTATCTCAAAATTGGCCAGGATCATAACAATAGCATGGGAGAAGTTTGCGAGAGACTCCCTCTTCTTCTGAAAATTCAGACATCTTGACCCAGACATAGCTTCCTACCTGTATATCCGACGGTCGGCGCCTCTTGTTTGCATGATGGATCATGGCGTGCTGTCGCTTGGTTATTGCTGCAATGGCAACCTTGAGCAAGTGATCTTACTTGGCCCTGAAGCCAGGCCTGTCGGGTGTTAAGCCAGCTGGCTGCTCAACGAATAGGTAGGAGAGCGGATTACGGATCTGCCAACCGTAATGCAGCCTGTTGGGTGTCATGCCGGTGGCAGAATGGACGGAGTTAATACAACCCCTTAACGGAATACAGCTTTTCATCCCATGTTTCCTGATCCGGAATAATCAAGGCGCGGAGAAGTTGAAACACAGTCTGGTTGATCTCCTCAGCCAAACCATTGGCTTTGGGGTGTCGGCCATATGTCATACACAGCCTGATCCCTAGTTGATACGTGAAGTCCTTCCATTTAGTACTAATGAAGCGCGGATCCCGGTCGCCCACAAGAGTCTTCGAGGTTCTGAACTGCAGAATGTACTTTTGTTTGAACTCACGGATCACTAATTCTGTTGGAGCGTGAGGTGGCAAAGGAATTAGATCAAGGAACTTAGAGAATCGGTCAACAATCACCATGACTTGTGAGTAGCCGTTCTTACTTACCTTTCCCAAGTCGGTGAAGTCGATGTAGACGGACTCCCCGGGACCATCGGGAATGGGAAGGGGTGTGAGTAGCCCTATGGGCTTTTGTTTGCATGGTTTGATTCGTTGACAGACTTGACATTCAGTCACAAACTTTTCAGCAGTCCGTTTCATGTCAGGCCAATCAAACAGTCTCAGAAGATTTGCGTACGTCTTTGCCATGCCGAAGTGTCTGCTCCGGCCATGAGCCAAATTCAGAAAGTGCGTGCGGAGAGGCTCATGGTTGGGCACACACAAGCGGTCGTGGTTCCCGTACAACGGAAAATCAGTCCTCCATACTTGTGAAAATCAGGCTGACTGCTAGGGTCAGCCCGCAGCCGCTCAAGGATGGGACAAGGCTCTGGATCCTTGGCTGTGTGCTCTACGAGCTCCTCCTTCAGTTTCTTCCGGAGGTCGTAGGCTTTCACAAGGCAAGTCATGTACTTAGGGTGGCGAGACAATGCATCAGCAACTCGATTGTAACAGCCCTTTTTGTGTCTCAACTCAAAGTCAAAAATGTCAATTTCATGGAACCAGCGAAGTAACGTAGGGGACAGGGAAGTTTGTTCCTTGATCCACTTCAGAGTCTCATGATCTGAGAACACTTTGAAGTGGCGTCCCAAAAGATAGTGCTTCCAATGGTCCAAAGCCATACGCAAAGCATAGACCTCGCGCATGTAGGTGAAGTGGCTACCTTTTCGCTGGGCATGTGTTTGTTGTAATATTCGAGAGGCCGTAGGCTATCACCGTCATCTTGCTGCATCACTGCGCCGATTCCATACTGACTTGTATCTGTAGTAACTACGAATGTCAGTTTGGGATCTGCAATGCGGAGTACTGGGTAACTTACCAAGGCTTCTTTCAAAGCTCGAAAGGCGTTCGTGCAAGCGGTGTCCCAAGAATAGGGAACATTTTTACTTGTCAACCCTGACAATGGACGGGCAACAATGGAGAAGCGGGGCACAAACTTTCGATAGTATGACGCGAGATCAAGAACAGAGTGCAGTTCGCGAACGTTCACGGGCCAAGACCAATTGCGTATGACCTCAACCTTGGTTGCCTCAGGTTCTAGGCCTGCAGCAGACAACCGATGCCCAAGATAGATGACGCCATCCTTCCCAAACTCAAATTTCTCTAGGTTGAGATGGAGTTGCGTCTTCTTGAGGATAGCGAGCACTTCCTTGAGGTGCTTGAGGTGTTCCTCCATGGATTTGCTGAAGATTAGTATATCATCGAGGTATACCACCACGAACCGACCAATCTGTTCGCGGAGGACCTTGTCCATGAGGCTTTGGAAGGTGGTCGGTGCGTTAGTGAGACCGAGGGGCATTACGGTAAACTCGTAAAGCCCATCGCGTGTTTTGAACACAGTCTTGTGCTGGTCCGTAGGATCGACTTCAATCTGGTGGTAGCCAGACTTGAGATCGATCTTGAAAAAGACCTTGCACCCACCTGCGGCATCAAGCAAGTCATCTATGCGGGACCATGGATAGGCGTTCTTTCTTGTGATGCGGTTTAGACCGCGATGGTCAATACACCTGCGGAGCTTGCCTCCTTTCTTCGAAACAAACAAAACAGGAGCACGAAATTCAGACTCACTAGGCTTGATCCACCCTTTGCCAATCATTTCATCAATCTGTCATCGGAGTTCCTCCAACTCGCCGGGTCCCATTCGGTATACGCAGCCCTTTGGAGGAACAACACCCTCGACCAACGAGATGGTGTGTCGGACCGATCGCGTGGGGACTCCACGTGGCTCGGCCATAACTTCTGGGAGCCGATCGAGTAGGTTTTGGATGTTTGGTGGAACCGGTGGGGGTGGAGGATCAACAAAGTGATCACCTAGATCAGGTCGCAAGTCGCGAATAGAGGCGACCGAATCTGAATTTGGACTAGTAGAAGGTAGAGAAGTAGAGGTACTAGAAGTAGAAGTAGTAGAAGTAGAATCACTAGCTGAAGTAGTAGTGGTATTAACCGCAAAAGTAGATGGCACATGGGTAGGACGAACAAAGGCAACATACAACTGTTCGTCCTCTTTATGCTTGTATAATTTTTTGCAGAACTTCATAGCATTCAAAAAAGTCATTAGGGACTCGTGCTTCTTATCCAGGAGGACGGGAAGCTCGTTCCCTTGAGCATCTTTGACCATGAAAAGTGACTCCTTCCACTTGGTCCATTCGCATTGGGACTGCAGTGAGCCCAGGCCAAGGACAGCGTCGAAGGGGCACTTGTCAAGGACATAAAAGCTCAACGCGCGGGTGACAGTTTTGTCCTTGTCAAAGGTAGTGCGCACACCTTTGACTGCATGCGTAGAAGAGGCAACTTCTTTTTTTCCAACTTGGGTTCAACAAGGGTTCTGCAAGGTCACTTGCTTCATTCCCAAGCCCACTTTGCGTATCCCATGAGGTGACATAAAGTTAGTCGTAGCACCACAGTCAATCAAGACACGGAGATAGCGGTGGTTGATAAGAAGTTTGAAGAAGATCAACTTCACTGTCCCTTGGGCACGCTGCTGTTTCATCTTAGTTCAATGCTCCAAGTGGTAGTGGAAGTCGACCGTCCCAGACTCCTCCCATGGCTCGACATCCCAGACTCCTCTCAAGGCTCGACATACAAAACATTACACACTTCAGCCTTGGCTTCAACAAATGATTGGGCTTCAAGGGAGGACTGCTGATTTGCATCAGATTCAGTCTCCCTTGCTGTAGAGTGTGCTGAAATTGACTCTACGCCCGTGTCTGGTTTCCCTGCAGCCTATATCAATCCTGTACCTTATGGTTCGGTTTCTGGCAATGCAGGCAGACCCCCTTCTTGAGTCTACCCCGCCAGTTATTTCAGTGATCCAGAGATCGACCAATGGTTTAGTGGCCGCATCCTCCAGTTTTGTTGGGATTTTGACTCCCTTGGGAAGTTGAACATAGTTCTTCCCTGCCTTCCGATTCGGTCCCCTTGCATTGACAGTCTTTTTAAAGGCAGTAAATTTTTCTTCTTCTTGGTTTATATCAGACTCATGGGCTGACAGGCTATATCAGTGTCCTGTTCTTGGTCGTCACCAAGAGTGGGGTCATCTGCATCGTCCTCCTCTTCAGCCTCCAGCAGGTCATGCACAGCAAAACGGCTGCTGCCTTTGACCCGCCTGCCGCCCATGGGCTTTTTGCTGCCTGCTGTGGAGACAAGGTCTATTGCCTCGAGACTGACTATGTCCTTCATCAGAGTGAACCAGTCAGTGTACCCAATGAAGTCCCTGCCTAGGCGATTTGTGAAGCTGGTGGTAACTGCGCCTTTGACCACATCCAAGCAAGATTGAGCAGTCAGTTCTAATCCGGGTGTAGCAAACATCTTGTAGAGGTAAGTCTGGAGGCTTTTCATGGAGCCCGTCCACTTGCTGCGTTTGATTTTATCAAGCTGGCTTCTTGCCCTTGCTGCAACGTGTGGATCCATATATTGCGCAATGAGGAGTTTCCTCGAGGGAGGCAACCGGGGTGGCCTTAAGCCACCTTGTTAGTTCTATTTTGGGAACCCCAACTCGCGTAGCTTGGACTTCTAGGAAGCCCCGCACAACCGGCTCGACATTCATTCCCATGATCACGGACTGGGTCTCGGGTTGAGTCCCTAGAACTTCGGAGTATGCCCTCATGGAGCTGATCCAATATTCAATGTCCTCTTTGCTATCGTACTTAGATGGTATTTGCACCGCCTTTCGGTCCACATAGGGACTGGCATGGCTGGGCCCAGCACCTGCTGGTTCAGATCTTGGTGCTGCAGCAGTTGCATAATTTCCTGCCTCGTTGCTTGTTACAACAACAACAGAATCTGCACCTGTTGCAGGTCCCGAGGAGTTTGTCATCACACTCAAGGAAGAAGTAGAAGAAGATACGGTAAGAGGGGCAAGGTTAGTTACAATTGCAGCTCCAGAACCAGGGGGTAGAGGAAGAGGATTGGCCGCTTGGGCTTGTCGCAGCGCAACAACCTCTGCCATCAAGTCACCGTCCTTGCCGGTCATCTCAGTCAGATCCTCCTGAAGTGTCCGCAATTTTGCGAAGACGTCGGCGATCTGAGTGATATGATCTTCAAGGCTCCGGACTTCGACGATAGCGGTGAGTATGGCCTGCAACTATTCCCCACACTGCTCTTTGGTCAGCGAGGGGACAGTTTCCAAGATGGCCTCCTGACTTTTCAGCAGCAATTCCTTCCTCTCCTTCTCTGTCTCCTGTTCCCTTTTGATGGCACTATCTAGGAGTGCTCCCAGATACGGTTTCTCCGCATCGCTGGCTGCATCTAACAAGGCCTTCCACTGGACTGAGGTTAGCCGTGGCTGGGCCATTTTCGGACCGTTGTCGTCGGCAGGTGGATCGGAGAGACGCCAATCAGCAAAAAAATCAATCAGACCCTCAAGAGGTACACTCCCCTTTTCGCTTAGACGAACACGCCGTTTCCCAGTCCTTGCCCACCCCAGACGGTCATTTTCCCTCTCTTCCTTTTCTCTCTCCCTCCTCTCTCTCCCTCCTCTTTCTGGTTGCGAGTCTCCACGGGCATCGGAAATGAACTCAGAGAAACAAACTGAAAAGCTCAGAGAAGAGAAGGTAGAACTCCTAGCCGGAGCGGCATTTCATTTGGACTTAGAGAGCAGCAAACCAAAGAAAAACAAACAAATTCACATGAGAGGTCTCATCCAGCAACCCAGTCAGATCAGACTGCATACGAGGTCCTCTCGAGTCCAGTCTGACCAGCTTCGTGACCGTGCAGCAAATCAGACAGCGAGTGACTAAATGCAACAATGGAGAATTGAGTGGTGTACAGGGTGCGAATCAAGCCACGGAAGGTGCAACCAAAAGCATGCGAAACGTCTCAATCGAGATCCCCTTGGCAGTGGGTGTCCTAATCCATTAAGAATGAACTTTGTATCTCAGTCAGGAAGACAATGAAATAATGCCTAACAAATTTGGGTCCAAAGGGATCTTCTTGTTTGGGCCCGGTCCCACTGGGTCCTACAGGTCCCACGTAGGCCGCGACCAGCTCCCAACCAAGGCGAGTCCCACATGGACTCAGTTCAGTTTCTACCACATCGAAAAACGAAATTTCAACTTCCGGCAGAACCTACAGACTACAACCGTTCAAGGACGAAAAGACAAAGCACTGTAGAAAGAATCAGCATTCAAATCAAGATACTTCGCTTCTCCATCCATCAGGTGGGTAGGTAGGTCACACACATTCAATCACACAATCAAGACCACAGAGGAGTAGGAAAAGAAACCCAGAGTAACCCCAACAGGACAATCCATACCATGCACACATACATGGGCATCCCGTAGGTGCACGACACTTACCTGAGTAGCATTGAGCTTTGAGATGAATAGAACTCACCCCCCTCTCATGTGATCCTCCTGACCCCTCTAATGCTACCCCTACACTAGTGTCCTATCTCCTAGGAGGGTCTGACTCAACACCAAAATGCAACGCCGGATCCCCCGTCGATGCTGAAGAACAAAGTAGCAACTTGCAGTCCGTAGATGCTGAGTGGTCGCTGACCCTCAAGCTCGCCTACTTGAGGGCAACCCTTAAGTTGCCAAGTGTCTCCCTTGAATCAGATTCCAGGTGCGAGTTCCTCTCACCGTCGCCTCTCTCAAATTGCCGCATGAAGTTTCCTTGAAATGTCTCGCCACCCTAATCTCACTCTCAAGCAACCTGGTTAGGTTCAATGTCGACCCCACATGACCTAACCAGGTGGGGGCAGCTTCCCTTAGCCACGCTGCCCCACTTCCCTTACATCCAACCCTAACCCTAAGTGTTGCCCTCAACCACTTAGGTTAGGGTTAGGGCAGCAAAGTCAACTCTCACCAGCAAGTAGAATCCGCTCCGATACCAATGTTATGATCCTGACCAATTTCGAGATACCCATCCATCAGATAGTACAATGCCGTCCAATTGCAGAAAGAAATGAATGAACTTGAGAGGAGAGAGAGGATTAGAAGAAGAAGAAGAAGAAGAAGTAAGAAAGAAGAAGAAGATGATGTACACCAGCATAGACAGATGACAAGGCTCTCCTTCTTCGCCCAACAATCCCCTCCTCTTTATCTCCCCCTTCTCATATTCAGACAATAAATAATAATACAATGTTGAATGGCTGATCCAGAATCAATGTCCGAGTTCCTCTTCTACTGCCGGCATCACTTGAGGTCCACCATAGCCATGGCCGCCTCTTCCTCCCTTCATCATCATAGGCCGAGGCTATGCCGGACTACTAGGCCTTGCCCAGATGCCCAAAGGACAACCCAAAGCAGCTATGGCTGCTCCAACTCAGGCCGCCATGCCCGACTCTGCCTCGAAGCTTCTTGGTGTAGCTCTCCCCGGTTGGGGACTCCCTGCTGCAGCGCCCACCAAGGTGATGAAGATGGCTGCCACCATAGCCAGGTAAGCACCCCTGGCGCTCCTCCCCCTTCCTGTCCTTCTTCCTTCCTCCTTGTCCTTCTCCTTCCCCCAGCAGCGTTGCCCCGGATAGCGCTGCTCCAACCGGCGCTCCAACCAGTGTGTTGCCAAACTTGCACACCGAGAATGAGGCCGGGCTCTTCGCCCGACTGGGAGATATAGTGGCCTGCTTGCCTCTTCGGGCGGTGACTTCCAGGCCGCTTGGCCTTCCAAGCAACCGGTACCTCCTCCCTTTCGGAGGGAAACATCATTGCAGACTCTGATATTGCCCGTACAGGCCCTAGCCCCAGACAGGTTGGACTGGTACCCGCCTAGACCTAACCTACAACTACTGGGCCTCTAAAAATGCCACCTTTGTCTTCTTCTGCTCGGCCTCCAGTACCCGCACATCTACCTCTTCAAGGTGCGGTACCGGCCCACCCGCTACTTGAGTGTTTTTCCCGCTGCAGTCCCTCAATGTCACGGCCACAGGTAAGTACCGGCCCTGAGGGCCCAATGAACGAGCAAGTGCCCTTGCGGGCCACACACACACTCAAGCCAACCAGCACTCAGACAGGCACGGCCACACACACACTCAAGCCAGCCAGCACTCAGACAAGCACGGCCACACACACACTCAAGCCAACCAGCACTCAGACAGGCACGGCCACACACACACTCAAGGAAACCAGCACTCAGACAGGCATGCAGTCCAGCAAGCGTGCACACACAGACTTAGTAGCAGGCGGGAAACTCAGCAAGGCATTCAGTCTATGGGCAAAACTCAGAAATCAGCCGTGTGTTTCAGTCCATGTTTGGACGGGTCATCACAATTCTTTCTTTCTTTTGTTTTTCATTCTTTCAGAATCTTTCTTTCCTTTTTATTCATTTTTTCTTCTTTTTTTTTTCCCTTCTTTTTCTTTTTTTTTAAACGCGAGTTTGCCGGGTTGTAGTAGGAAGCCTACCAGGGAGTGCACTGCTAACATGCGTGGACAGTTTCCTGGGACTAAACTGGCTGATGTCCCTGTAAGCATGGAGGATCTCTGGCGTATTATGTAAGAGTCTGAACACTTGACCTCTGGGTACTACCGTCTTCCCCCAAATACAATGTACGGTCATCATAGCTGTATTTAGACTGAAAGGTATTCCAAACTCAGCTATAATGACTGTACGTTGTATTCGGGGGAAGACTGCATGGCATTTGGTGCCGGTCCCTTGGACTGATCTGCTGCTCTGCACTGCTGTTAGGAAAGACGCAAAGAGCTGAACAAAGGCCCTCCCTGCGAGAGAGAGCATAGAAAAAACGGGGGTCTCACCCACCCCATGTGGCTGAATGGCACACCTATCAACCGTTGAAAAACAGACCTGAGTTCGAATTCCGATGGACTCAGATATAATAAAAATCCTCAATTGCAATTGTGGAAGCTCAATGCTGCCACCCTTTTCCTTTTTTCCAAACAAAAAGGGGCTCAATGCTCACATCATTCACAAACACGGCCTGGGAACTACGGAAGCTAACATCATGTTATTCCAATTCCCCGTGGTACGAAGAACTCTGAAGCAAATCACAAGACATTCAGGTGC